GGTGTATGATAATACCTGTGCACATTGTATATTAATACCAAAAAATTGTATCAAGGGTAATATTAAACCAAAACATAGACTACACGTAGGTAATTTGTACTATGTGCATCTAGATAATGTGCAAAACTGCCCAGAGTGTAATAAAGGATGTACAAAGGAAACAAATATTTGGGCTTGCCCATTGGGCTTGCAAGCTCAAACTATGATGTACTAGCCTGAAAATTGTTCCTCTTACCAGTTGTACCTTTGTACATGTAACTTGAAGTTGGTCAAACATTTTGTCCAAAGAATCTTCCCAAGAATCCTCTAGCCTGACCGGAAAATTCACTAGCCCCAGGCTATTAGACAAGACTTTCTTTGCACACTGTATGGGTTGTAAGTTATTCGAATCAAATATTGTTTTGGAATAAGTCTGCTGGTCACAATTTTTGATAATGTTTACTAAGTCTAATTTAGCCTATATAAAAGTTTATTAATAGATATTTTTGATTTTGATACTATTTATACACATCTAGATTGTATAGTTGCAAACCTCATGGCTCTTCTGTTCCAGTTGAACTTTGACAAACTCCAATTCTTTGGTTTTCTTGTCTAGTTGTATCTGAACTGCATGTATGTGGTTTTCCCATTCTACTTTCTTGGCAGTAACCATCAAATCAATTTGCCGCATCAGCTGGAATCATGAGAAAAAAAATGTGTTGATAACTACTAAATAAAATTAACCAACAATTACATGTACTATCAGCACTTAGTACTTAATTTGATGTAAGAACTTCTAAAAAAAAATGTCAGGATGATCAAAATATTAACAAAATATTGGCGAGATAGGTATCTCAGGACTGGAAGTTTCCGGTACCCACATTTTATAGTCTACATTCAGAACAATAAATGTTAAGTACTTAATCAGTGAATTTTTTCACATTTGTACCAAATGATTTATCACTTAGTTCTCAATCTTGAAGGGTGATTACAGTAACATTATTGATCAAAATATAAGTCTATAAACATGTTTTAATTTTTGCAACATTTCCTGGGATACCTACAGGAAACCTCTATTCGTCAGATAGATGTCTGTCACTGTAAACAGTTATTGCATACATAATAACCTCTAAAATACATGTACAGTGTGTACACATACATTGAAAACTAATACAATTACTCGAAACTTCTTCATCGATAGTAATATTGCCATAAATAAGCTATAATTGTACATATTAGAGACGATTGGATGTTACCTTTAATGTTTTTGAAGGCATCTTTTGATATGAAACTTACAATGTAAGAATTACATGTACTACTGTGTAACAATTCATGAATAACTTTGAAGATTGTAATTTATGCAAATTTAACAAAAAACTGCTAAATAAATTCATTAGCCTTAAGCTCAA